GTATATATAAATTTAATTTTTCAAAGAATTTAAATGAGTTATCCAAACCTAAATCGAACCCACAAAGATTCGAACGGGCCCGAACAAAAATTTATAAATGCCCAAATGAAAATGAAAAACTCAGTCCTGAAAACTCGAAATTGGAATAAACTTGAATTGAACCCGAATGAATACTCAAACGTCCATCCTAAGTGAAACAATATGATATTCCGTAGAAAATATTGATTAACCAATAAAATAAGTCATTATCTTAAAATATCATAAATGTTCATTTTGTTCTATATTTTTAATTAAAAAAAACTCCTAATACACGAAATCAATTTATATTTTCCATTAAATAACAACTCCAAACCATTAATTATCAATACTAATTGAATATAGATTTAACTTAACAATTTCCAGAAGATCTAAAATAGTAAAATATTTATTCATCAAACGAAGTACTTAAATATTGAAAATTGTCATAAATGAAAATAATTAGTAAATTCAAAAATTATTCTATCACATATAATTTTATAATCCCCTATATATTAATTGAGAAACATTTGAAAAGATGTAACCTTAAGTTTGTATTAATTAAAACGTAACCTTGCTTAGTTGTCAATCAATTAGCATACCAATTAAACTGACGTGGCAGCTTTAGGTTCAATTGAAATTTGCTAGGGAAAAATAATTAGAGACGCATATAAGGCATGTAACATTAGTTTATATATTTATATATATCGCACGCATGTAATGGAAGAAAAGGAAAATATACGATTTGATAACGATTTGCATATATTAACTATAATAACTTCATTCCTTTTAATTTAAGGAAGTGTATATGTAAAATGGAAATTACTTTGTGACCAAGTACATACTTAATGGTAAAGGCAAGTGTATATGTAAAATGTATAACTTAATATGTTAACTTGGGAATTTATGTTAAACTTTTGATTTTTTCGTATAAGTTATATTTTGAATTTTTAAAAACGAGAATAAATAACTAAACTATTAAAATTATTATGTTAAAAATTAATGATCAATAGTTTAACATTTTTATTATAAAAAGATATACATGATTTTAAAACCATATAAGTAGTTTTGGTATATACCTTACAAACCGAATGGATGTGATTTTATAAAAACCATAGGATTTGGATATGGTTGATTTATAACCGATTAAACTGAAACATGTAAATATGTATATATTTATAACGACACATGAATATCTATTTGTTACATGAGTTGAACTATAATTATATTTTGTAAATAGCTAACAATTTATTACAACTGAGNGAAACATGTAAATATGTATATATTTATAACGACACATGAATATCTATTTGTTACATGAGTTGAACTATAATTATATTTTGTAAATAGCTAACAATTTATTACAACTGAGACTTCTTATTTTGATCTTTTGCTTTTTTAACAGTAACTAAATTGAAGTAAAGATTATAAATTTGATGGACAACAATTAGTTGAAATTCTTAACAATTTTTTTTTATCTTTAAACAAACAGAGTTGTGTTGAATCAAAGACATATTGGTTTGATGAACACTAAATATGGAAGAATATAAAAACTTTTCTTTCATGCTTCTGTTTTTTTTTCTTCAAAATTTAGTGTTTTGATATTAATTCTAGATTTGATCATTTTATTAGATGATAAAAGCCTTTTTTATTTTTTTTCTTTTATTTAAATATATAATATTTTTTTAATAAATGACCCTGTGGCAATATGACTCTAAATATGATCATATTATATATTTGTATAATATATAATATGATCTCAAACTAAATAATTCTGTTTTTTGGCATAAAATTGAATAAACTGAAAACCGATGGTATATAAACCAAATCAAACTGTAGTACATATAGATTTAGAATAGTAGTTATATTTTAATGATCGAAATACCAAAAAATCGGACAAAAAATTGAGCCGAACCGAAACCCGATATCCGGATTGAGCACCTATAATCCGAATGAAACCGAACTATTGTTTCATTTTTCAAAACNGTACATATAGATTTAGAATAGTAGTTATATTTTAATGATCGAAATACCAAAAAATCGGACAAAAAATTGAGCCGAACCGAAACCCGATATCCGGATTGAGCACCTATAATCCGAATGAAACCGAACTATTGTTTCATTTTTCAAAACATAATAAAAATAATAGCTTCATCCCGCGCAAGGCGCGGGTCTTATCCTAGTATTTAAATATTAGATGAGTTAAATCCAAGATAAATATCAGATCAATTATAATTAAATGCAAATCCAATCAAGCAAATAATAAGAATCTAAGTATACGTGTGATGTGATGGTAAAACAATTAATTAGATGACAAAAATGTAAAACATAACATTATCTTGTTTAAAAAAGTCATATAAACATTTAAATATGATTGATATTAAAAATATTTGTTATTAATGATGTAAAACAAATTTAACGCTTATAATATTACAATCAAATATTCACGCGGTTGTCCGGATCAATATCTAATTTAATATTAACTAGATTTTGACCCGCGCTTGAAAGCGCAGAAATTTTTTATGATTAAAAATTTATATAATTGGGTTTTGTCTTAGTTTAAAAAATATTTTGATATAAAATCAGTTCACCAAAATTTGTGGTGATGATTATTTTTCATTAGTTTTTAGTTTCAGTTTTTATTTTTAGATTTTGGTTTTTGGTTTTTAGTTTTTAAGTTTCTACTTTACATTTTCAGTTTTTGATTTGGGTTTTTAATTTTTAAACCCGCTAAGTTAGTTTGAACTAATATTACCAACAAACAAATCTCAAATAATCGAACATATAATTCAAACTGAAAAGATGACAACAAATTAAAAAAAAATTGAAATAGTTTATTTTGTAAATAAACAAAGCAAAAAAATATAACATGTGTTTTCAGCTTTTGGTTTTGGATTTTAGTTTTTAGATTTAGTTTTTGGTTTTGCTTTACATTTTTTTAATCAGTAAATTATTTAAGAAAAATAAAACAATAAATTATTTAAAAGTTACCATTGAAATATATCAAAACAAAGTGATTGTTATTTAGAATTAAAAAAATATATTAACATGTTTTAAAGTACATGATTTAAATAAATGATTAATAATAGATAATTATTTTTTGTTAAAAATATTAAATACCTTTTGGGTCTGAAAATAATAATTGATTTTTTGATTTTTTTAAGGTGAAAAGTTTATTCAATGTTTTTAGAGCTTTTTTCTTAATACTAAGCCCAAAAACCAAACTATATAATTTGTTCGAAAAATGAAAGTAAGCTCAAGACTATATTCCATAAATAACCACTGGTTTAATTTAAATATAATTAGTAGATTTCCATATTCCATATTTTGATGATATATATTCTTTTAGAACATTCCATATTTGTAGGAGAAAATATATGTTTTCGGTATACACATAGATACCTGCCATATTTTAAATATAGTTTACATTAAGGTCGTCTCTTTACATCAATTGTGTTGGTTTAATTTAAGTAATACGGTTCAATCAATTATATGACTTATATTATTTGTAACATTCTAGAAATGGTCCAAATTTAAATGATAACTTGTATCAGTAGATAAAAAGAATGACTCTGTTTTAATATAGTAAAAGTTAGTTAACCATTCGGGTTCTGATTTGGAAGACGGTTATAAGAGACCGTTCTTGGTGCTCAACGATAATGTTGCACTCCGTGAGCGTGTGACTGTAACATATTAATTTCTGATATACTAGTGGTGCATGAAAAATACTTAAGAAAGTGGTGCATGAAAAATACTTAAGATAACATATTTTGATACACATATCACTAAAGAGAAACTATTCAGAAAACATTTTATTATTAGATATGACGGATATGAAGTAATAGAGGATAATGAATCACTAGATTTTGAACCTGCACATCCGTGTGGGTATTTTTTCATTTTATAAAAATATAACAATACTTTTCAAATATATATGATTTACATTCTAATGTTATATATTATATAATCTTATAATTTTAATTATTTCTATATAATATATTGTTGTAAGTTTTAAAATAAAAAAATACTCATATATAATTTTTAATATAATGTATTTGTTGTGAGTTACAAAAATATATGTTAACATTTTTTTATAAAAATATTATATGATTTAAAAACTTTAATATGTTTTAAAAGTGAGTGATATTTATTTATTTATTTGATAAAAGAATAAAAGAAATTTTTTAAAATAAAATACTTTCCTTTACCAATTTAATATATTTTATATTCATTTCACATAGCATTTTATTTTAATATAATATAGAATATAACTAAATTATAAAATATAACAATTTTTTATTTTTTATTTTTTATTTTTAATTAACATTAATATAGATATTTATATATATATATATATATATTAATCACAAAATTAAACAATGCATATTATATAAAAGTATTTAAACTTCTTAGTAAGATCTTGTTAGATATTTTCTCAACAAATTTATTACTAATATCTTATTAATTATTAAAATATTTCTCCAATTATATACATTTGATTGATTAATATAAATAATTAAGTATGTCATATTAATGAGATCGTCTAACATAACTTTTTGTACTAGATATAAATGGTTTTCTCTTTTAATAGAGAAGATGGGTAAGTGATTCCATCTAATCTATTAATTTAGAATTCAATTTGAAATTTAACTTGGTATATTTTAAATCTGGATTTTTTTTTTTTTTTTTTTTGACAACTAAAGGCTGATCTATTTTTAAATCTGGATTTATTGAAAAATGTTGTGGCTAAATATAATACAAACTAGATACACAATCTTAAAATTATGCATTTTTGTATCATCCTAATAATATCCCCAGAATAAATAGTGACATTAGTTCTCATAGTCATTTGATTCCTTCTTTTATTAGTTGTAAACTGAATTCTGAAATCAGAAACCCCAATTTCAATTTCGGGATTGTGTGTCGTTTCAATTATTGGATCAGACTAGACTGTGGATAGTTCATGCAAATTCATGGCGCGCTTCATGGTAAAATCATGGCTGGGAACAAAGCCAAGAAAAATAAAAACTTTTCAGAGATTCTCGAGAAGATAGAAGGAGAAGGACACTTCTTTCAGTGGCGATCAAATTTTATATCGTGCATTGATTACGAGTAGGATGGTTTGAATGGAAGAGATGGGAAATCATAGGAATGAATCGACGAGTAACGGAAGGAAAGACAGGACAGGACAGGACAAGAAGGCGGAGTGTTGCATCTGATGCGAGAGGTAGGTTTCGTTGACAAATCAGGTTGGATCCGGTAGCAGTAGCCGGATTGCATAGAAAATTTATGCACTTAAATCATTTTTGTAACTGCAAATTTCAAAGTCTTTTCTTGGTTTTGTATTTTTTATGATTTTTGAGTTGATGGTTACTGTTGTTTGCTCATGTCAAGTTGGGATTTAGGAAGAAGAGATGAAAAGCTTATATCCAAACAGCAGATGATTTCTCCCATTTATGCTTCTTCTCCTTTTGTGCTTTCTTTGATTGTCGTTGCAAGAGCTACTAAGCGTCTCTAATGATTAACTTTGAAACTAGCACAAGAGATTAGGAAATGTGCTTCTTTTTGTTGATGGTGTCGATGCCGAACTCCGACAGGTCAGTCAGTGCTCTCTTAACTGGCTTTTCTATGAAGCATATGTGACACTTGGCTAAAATGAGACACAGAAACTGACCATGACATCTTTGAAACAGAATAGGAGTTGAGGTTATATAGAAACAAGTTTTTATATGTCTGAATGAAAGAGGGAAAACATTTCTTTTCTTTTTTTTTGTTAGTCAGGGAAAACATTTCCATATTTTTATTTACTAGTGAATATCTTTTATCTGCCACCATTGTTTAGGCTATGTGATAATCTTTTGAGTAATTTAACACTTTTTATCTCACTGATGCATGTTTTCAGGTACCTTAATTTTAACTTGCATCCTCTCAAATAAATAAGAAGACATTTATACTGGATATCGAGCTAATTAAGCGTTTGTTCTTGACAGGTACCATAGACGCTCCAAGAAGATGTGCTCTCTAAAAAGAGTGCACCGTCTAAGAGTGATGCTCCTCTTATCACCCCCATCTACCTTGCCGAGGCTGATAGGTTTGTCGTTGGCTTCCCAACAAAGTTCGGTATGATGGCTGCTCAGTTCAAGGCATTCGTAGATGCAACTGGTGGCCTCTGGAGGACTCAACAACTTGCTGGTAAGCCAGCCGGAATCTTCTACAGCACCGGGTCTCAAGGTGGTGGTCAAGAAACCACAATTGCTTCCGTGTTTACTTGTGTTGTCACTGATTCTAGCACAATTTTTTTTTGTAATCTTTGTAAGCAGGAGTAAAAAAATATCTTCAGAACTAATTCTATTTTTATAAATCTTGATCTCACGCCACTTAAGCGAACATAAGAAACTTTATTCCTTTTTTAATTTCTAAACATAAGAATCATGATATATGTTTACAACTACATGTTTGGTTGCTAACAAAATTTAATCATATGGTGAGTTGTTTTTTCGTCACTATTAACTCTTTTTTTAGTTATAGGATGAAAAACAAAACAAATATAGAAAGATCAAAGTTTAACTTATTCGTATGAGCAAGATAATAACACTATCATACAAATCTTACTAACCCCTTTGCTGAGCCCGACAAAACAGCAAGAAAATACAAAACCAAATATTACCCACATAAGTGCGTAAATAACTTTTTTTCAAACTATTAGAAAAATAAACAAGAGTTTCATATCATTATTCAGATCCACACGTTCGAATTGAACTCCAAAGTTTAACCAAATAAAAATAAATAAACCCAAACCAAATTTAAAATCATAAATAATCTAATGGTCTCTATATTTTTTGAACCAAAAACAAAAACCAATTTCAAACTGAAATCAAACCGAAAACTAAATAAATACAATTTATAATCGAACTGAAAACCAAACCTCATGCCTAAACCTATTAGTGAACAAATAAACATGTTATTAAATTTATCAACAAAAAATAATTTCGCGTTTTGAAAACGCGGATCTAATATTTACATATTGTATAAGACTAAATCAGGAAAATATCATACGGCAGATACAAAACTAATCAACAAATATTTATAGCCTTCTAAAATTAACAAACCAACTATCGCAAATAGTAAGACACAAAATAGAAAGTCCATTGACAGGTATTCACTATCAATCAAAAGTCCAGACAAATACAAAGAACATACGAAACTTGTGCTTCTTTTCCATGTCGATTAGTCCACTTTCAAACAAAGAGGTACAACACTAAGACGCGATGAAACTTGCGGTATATAGGCACAGAGATTTTAGGCCTTAAGTATTGGATTCAATTTTAACAATATGCAAAACTCTAATCTGCACATTTAATGAGATTGTTTTTCGCAAATCTAGATTTTAATAGGAGAGTTTACTCTATTTCTATAGTGTCCACATGGACATATTGTGGGTCATATGTTGAATTTTTTTTAAAGAAAATAATAGTTTTGCTAAAGTTGTCTGAGAGTTAATTTCTTCTTATGTGGCATCTTGTTTCTGATGGGTTTCAGTGGAGCGACTACTTTCTTTCTGTGAAGACGGTAGACGTTTCATGTGACATAAATTTTCTTTGCTGAATGGTGTTCATGTGTCTTTTCACTCTATGCTAACTTATGCGTGATGAACAAGTGGAAACCGTTTTCTTCTAAGTTTTTTTGTTGTCCGAACTTGGTTAGACCGAGTTTTGTTTTTGTCCATTGTTTAGACCTTTCGCTGTACTGTTTCTGACCTTTTTTATGACTTTTGTAGTGATCTTTAATATTATAAGACATAAAGAAACAAAAAATAGTTTTGCTTGGATGAGGGTAATCTCTTTTTTTTTTTAACACATGATGAGGGTAATCTCTAATACAAAGCAAATCAAGGTAGTCTCTAATACAAAGCAAATCAATATTATTAAAGGAAACAGACTGATACTGAAGTAATATAGTAGTTGATGAAATATGTACAAGTTTACCATCAATAATGTGTTGTCTGAGTAACACAACTCTCTCAGCAACGTTTGAGTCAGAGAAGTCAAGGAAATCAAAGCCACGAGTACGACCAGCGGCTCGATCACAGCCTCTAAAACCTTACCGAAACTCTGAAAATATTTGCGAACACGATCTTCAGTGTTATCCAAATTAGTCACGGGTTTATCTTGATTTATTTCCGACAATTTATTTATTATTAGGAAATTATTTCCATTTATTTCTAACAAATTCTAAGCTTGTCTATTTCAGATTCCGATAGAGGCAGACTTATCAGCCAAACCAAACGAAAGATTCATGCTAATGCTCAACAGTAGTTTTATATTATTTTAACGAAAAAGTAGTTTTACATCATTTTATTTTTAATGAATATTTGATAGGATCAGTTGGCGAAAATCTTTGGTCAATTCATCATTCTTCAATCTCCTTACTACTTTGAAGTCCTCACTGAGTCGTGGTGGATGTCCTATACCAGGACTGTTTCTTGGATCAGTTGGCGCAAAATCATTTATCGATTCATCATTTTTCTTCAATACCTTTACTACTTTGAAGTCATCACTGAGTCGTGGTGGATGTCCTATACCAGGACTGTTTCCTGGATCAGTTGGCGCAAAATCATTTGTCGATTCATCATTTTTCTTCAATACCTTTACTACTTTGAAGTCCTCACTGAGTCGTGGTGGATGTCCTATCCCAGGACTGTTTCCTGGATCAGTTGGCGCAAAATCATTTGTCGATTCATTATTTTTCTTCAATACCTTTACTCCTTTGAAGTCCTCACTGAGTCGTGGTGGATGTCCTATACCAGGACTGTTTCCTGGATCAGTTGGCGCAAAATCATTTGTCGATTCATCATTTTTCTTCAATACCTTTACTACTTTGAAGTCATCACTGAGTCGTGGTGGATGTCCTATCCCAGGACTGTTTCCTGGATCAGTTGGCGCAAAATCATTTGTCGATTCATCATTTTTCTTCAATACCTTTACTACTTTGAAGTCATCACNTTGGCGCAAAATCATTTGTCGATTCATCATTTTTCTTCAATACCTTTACTACTTTGAAGTCATCACTGAGTCGTGGTGGATGTCCTATCCCAGGACTGTTTCCTGGATCAGTTGGCGCAAAATCATTTGTCGATTCATCATTTTTCTTCAATACCTTTACTACTTTGAAGTCATCACTGAGTCGTGGTGGATGTCCTATACCAGGACTGTTTCCTGGATCAGTTGGCTCAAAATCATTTGTCGATTCATCATTTTTCTTCAATACCTTTACTACTTTGAAGTCCTCACTGAGTCGTGGTGGATGTCCTATACCAGGACTGTTTCCTGGATCAGTTGGCGCAAAATCATTTGTCGATTCATCATTTTTCTTCAATACCTTTACTACTTTGAAGTCATCACTGAGTCTTGGTGGATGTCCTATACCAGGACTGTTTCCTGGATCAGTTGGCGCAAAATCATTTGTCGATTCATCATTTTTCTTCAATACCATTACTACTTTGAAGTCATCACTGAGTCGTGGTGGATGTCCTATACCAGGACTGTTTCCTGGATCAGTTGGCGCAAAATCATTTGTCGATTCATCATTTTTCTTCAATACCTTTACTCCTTTGAAGTCCTCACTGAGTCGTGGTGGATGTCCTATACCAGGACTGTTTCCTGGATCAGTTGGCGCAAAATTATTTGTCGATTCATCATTTTTCTTCAATACCTTTACTACTTTGAAGTCATCACTGAGTCGTGGTGTATGTACACCCATGTTCGGATGTCCTATACCAGGACTGTTCCTTGGATCTGTAGGCGCAAAATCATCAATAGTTTTAGATATTTTTTCTTGAACATTGACAATACCTTTCTTATTCCCATCAAGATTGTCTCCAGCTGGTACTGTAGACACAAAGTTATTCAAAGATGTGACTTTGAAATGTTTTTGGTTGTCTGCTATCTCCAACGTTCTTGCTTCAGTAGTGGATGGTACTTGGACAGATACTATCGAGATGACCATAATGGTCATCACGGAGATAGTGAAGAGTTTCATAGTCTTTTCACCTTGAATCAGATACAAGGCTAAAGGTTTTGATATGAGTAGTTTCGTGATATTTGTAGTGAAGTTGACAAGTGGGATTGTATTTATACTGTCTAGAGACTAAGCCACATTGATCGAGTTTGGACATTCCTTTTTCTTGTCAAATAATGATATCTATAAACAAATATAATCAATTTAAGTAAATTATAATTATTATATAGTAATAGATCTAATATCTAGATTTATTATAATTATATTTATTATAATTAGATTTATTATAATCAATATCTATAAACAAATATAACCAATTTAAGTAAATTATAATAAATTATTGTTCATACACTCAAAATATTTAATAATAATCTAAATAAATTCTTTCTATATATAAAATTTTTCATCATCATATAAATAATTTTCCTTCACAAATTAAATGTGAAAATACTCATAAATTTAAAATATTTAGTAATAAATTAGTATCATTTTTAGACATAACAAAAAAGTATAATAAAATTATCTTTAGTAATGTAAACTATCTATACATAAATTCTTTGCGAATTATTTTTTTCATAATTAAATATATATTAACAAATATTATTATTTTTCAAGGTTAATAAAGACTTATAACACAATTATAAAAAAATTAGATAATGATAGTTATCAAATTCATGAAATTTGTTTTTAATTTAGAATTAATTATATACTAACAAATATAATTATTTTAAATATAATTATTTTTCAATGTTGATAAAGACATAATATAAAAAAATAAATAAGGATGATTATCAAATAAATGAAATTCGTTTTTAATTTATAATTAATGATACATTACTAAAAATATAATTATATTTCAAGGTTAATAAAGATTTTATAACCCATTATAAAATATTTTTATATAAAGAAAAATCTAAAATTATTGAAATTCGTTTTTTACTTATGTTTAATTATATATTGAATTTTTTTAATTATTATATATGAATAAATCTTTGTTGGTCAAATAGTAATAACTATTAGTCATTATATAGTAATAAATCTGGTTAGTCATTAAGTTTATGTTTTTTTGTCATTAATGGTAGTAAAAATCATAAGAACATGATAAATAAGCAAATTCACTTTTTAAATATAATTAATTTATTGTTATTTATATATTAATTCAGTTTTAGTTTATAGTTTATTAATATTAACTATTTTAGATAATAATAGTCATCAAATCAGTGAAATTTGTTTCTAATTTATGGTTGATTATATATTAATTAAATATATTTTCTGATAACAAGACAATATATATATGAATTATCTTTTTTATTTTATTTTTAAATATATATATTTAGATTATGGATAATTCTTATCATTATTATTAATTAAATCATTTATCTAATCAAATAAATATAAATGTTTTTTTTTTATTTTTGGCTGATTTATATATTTTATCCATTAAGTGTATAAACGATATTAACCACTCCAACTTTTAACAAGGAAGCTCCATTGCGAAAAATCACTTGGCAAATTTAAGTGAATTATCTGATTTGTAATTTCTCCATGATTAAATAATTTTGATTATTTGTCATATTTTTAATAATTTCATATAAAATTTATTATAAAATAAAAATGAATTTCTATTAATAATTTTATATTTTTCTAAAATAAGATAATAGTTATGTATTATATTGTTATGTTGAAAATATATTTCCTATTATAAAACTTGATATTAAGATATAAAAATTATACTATTAATAACTAATTATAAATCATCAAAATAATTATTTGAAAAGTGAATTTGTTGATTTGTTTTCATGTTCCTAGATAATTTTGATCATTTATCAGAATTACACTAATTTTTTTATTATTGATTATATAATTAAAACTAATTTATACTAACAATATGATATTTTAGAAAATAAGTTAATTCTTATGTATTATGTTGTTATCTCGAAAATATATTTTTCTATTAGAAAATTTAAAATTAACATGTAAAAAATCTATACAATTATTTAAAAAATGAATTTAATGTTTGTTGATTTGTCATATTTTCCATGATTTTAGTTAATATTGATAGTTTATCATATCTTCTCTAATTTTTTATACAATTTATTATATATTAAAAACAAATTTATATTAATAGCATCAGATTCTTAAAAAATAAGGTACTTCTTATGTATTAAGTTGTTCTCTTGAAAATATATTTTTCTATTATAATTTTAAAATTAAGCTATAAAAAGTAGTAGTTATTTTATAATTGAAATAAATTTACATTAATAATTTATAAGAATTAACTTATTTTCTAAAATATCATATTATTAATATAAATTAGTTTTAATTATATAACGAATAATAAAAAAAATCATAGAAATTCTCATAAATGATTAAAATTACCTAAGATCACGGAGACAAATCTCAAATTCACTTTCAAATTGTTTTGATGATTTATATTTAATTATGATTTATATTTAAATATTAATAATATAATTTTGATATTTTCATTTTAAATTCATAATAGGAAAATATATTTTCAACATAACAGCATAATACATAATAATTATCTTATTTTAGAAAATAAAATATTATTAACATAAATTCGGTTAATTTATATTTAAATGTTAAATTATTAATAGAAATTCGTTTAAGATAAATATAATCTTCTTTATATCTTAATTTAAAATTTCAGTTTTATAAATAAAAATATATTTCAAGATAATAACATAATTCAATAACAACATAATTCACAAGAATTATCTTATTTTCTAAAAATATGATATATTCATATAATACGTTTTATTTATAGATAAAATATATATAAATATAATAAAATTACCTAAACTTATAGAGAACATGACAACTAAGCAAACTTATAGAAAATAAGATAATTCATATAAATTCGTTTTATTTATAAATAATATATATATATATATAAATATTAAAGATATGATAAATAAATAAAATTACCTAAACTTATGGAGAACATAACAACTAAGCAAATTTTCTTCTTAAATAATAGCGTAGAAGATTCGTTTTATTTATAAATAAAATATATATAACTATTAAAATATGATAAATAAATAAAATTACCTAAACTTATGGAGAACATGACAACTAAATAAATTTACTTCTTAAATAATAGTATGGATATATAACTATTAAAAATATGATAAATAAAAAAAATTACCTAAACTTATGGAGAACATGACAACTAAGCAAATTTACTTCTTAAATAATAGTATAGATTCGGTCAACCACATTGATATTTTCTGGTCAAAGATCCTGATTATTTTGGCAACTACACTGAGATATCTTATTTTTTTAAGACATTTTCCTTTTGGTATAGGTATGGCGTTCAGATTGGGTGTTCAGATTGGGTATTTCAGATTTTCAGGTGTGATACTGGATTTTAACTGTACATATATTTTTACAGGCCGGTCGGATTCAGTTACCTCGGGCCGAGTTTAGATATTTAGATTTTGAAAACAATTTAAGTTCTTTACTACTCAAGTTTCTTGCAGTTAAAATTTTACTATTAATTTTTTAAAAATTAATAGGTTGGATAATTAATAAATTTGAAGATAAAACATTTAAAATAGAAAGTCATTAATCTGGTTGTGGTTTTGAAATTTTGAATGCAACTTTTGTTAATGAATAAAACAAGAATTTTAACATCAATGAGATGCATTTTAAGTGAATAGCAAATTAATGTTTCTGAAATTATATGTATATTGTCTGACCTTATGTCATATGCAACATCAATGTAAATATTGAATAAATAAGATAACTAAACTAGGAATATATGGTTAAATATACATATGAACGGTTATCTTTGAATATATATTCGGGTTCGAATATTATCCGTTCATGTTTGGATATCCAATCTCTCATAATTCTACACTGTTGTGGTATATTTTGGTACTTTGGCTTGGGTTTTCTTAAGTCGGATTCGGATACGAGTTCAGAAACATTAAGTGGGGGTTATTGGTTCAAGTATTTCATGATAAATTCATTAATAACTTAACAAATATTTTATTAATTTGTAAAACTTTTTGGTAATTAAAATATTTTTTCATTTAAATCTTTTAAATTTGAACCGGATCCGTGGTTGAAACGGTTAATCTGATGATCTAAGAGTTTTGTTTAAGTTTTAAAATATTCATATACAAACCTGTAAAATCATTCTAACTGACTGAACCGACGGATAACTAATATGTAACCAAATTTTATTTAAATTGTTATAGTTTCATAACTTGTCCCCTTATAATCAAGTTTTGAAGTCCACTGATAACTTAACAAATATTTTATTAATTTGTAATACTTTTGTGTATTTAAAATACTTTTGCATTTAAATCTTTTAAATTTGACTCGTATCCGTATTTAAAACGGTTAATCTTGTGAACTGATAATTCAGTTTAAGCTTTTAAATATTCATATTTAAAACATGTAAAAATCACTCGAGACTAACCGACTGAACTCATGGATAACTAATATGTAACCCATTTTTATTTAAATTTCTATAGTTTCATAATTTGTCTCCTTAGAATAAAGTTTTGAACTTCACTAATAACTTAACAAATATTTTATTAATATGTAAAATTTTTGTGTACTTCAAATATTTTTTCATTTAAATTTGACTCAGATCCGTGGTTAAAACGGTTAATCTAATGATCTGATAGTTCGGTTTAGGTTTTAAAATAATCATATTTAAAACCTGTAAAAATAGCTCGAGACTAATCGACTGAACCGATGGATGAAGGATATATAACCCGGTTGGAGTTATATTTTTATATTTTCATCATTTGTCTCCTTATAATCAAGTTTTGAAGTTCGTTATTTTTCAAGAAATTATGATGTTTCTATAAAATTTTGATAGAGAAAATGATAAATATAAAATAACTAAGAACTATAAATATGTCTTGATCATATTAATCTTTTTATATAGTTTAATTAACTTTCTTATAATTGATTTGTGTAATTTATATTGCTAATAATTTGGTTTATATTATATTCAGTTTAAATTTGTTGTTAAAAATTAG